AGAGAATTATAGAAATGACAGCACAAAGGAAGCCACAAGCAGCATTGTGGATATGGTGGTGCAAGGTATTCCACTGACATTATTTGTGGTATTCCGTACTGACTTTGCCCAGGTGAGTGGGATAATCACTCTCTCACTCTATATTGTACTAACAAAAGTCTACTTCCAATCAATAATTCAACGCTAATGTTTTCCAATTCCTACACGGTTGAGCTTATCACTTGATTATCTTGCTGCTCCATCCAGTCAAACAAAAACTCCCAAAAATAGTAGGGGGAAAATAGAAAGCAAAAATGTCTGAAACCACACAAAATCAGTCATCAACTGAAGGCACTTCCCACACAGTATATGCCAATACATCTCTCCTTCTGCAGGCCACTCAGTCCCTCCTAAGAGAGGCAAAAGCCAGAGAAAAGCCATGAAAACAAAGGCCAATTTCTACCACCTAAACATGATCCTAGCACCAGGTGTTGCTTTTTCCCCCTGCTCCACTTTCAGGAGGGACCAGTTAATATGTAGTTGGGAGAAACGGTGTCCATCATCTTGGTACACTTGCCTTTGGTGCCACTTGCCTCTGAGCTGATCCCAACAATGCTCATGAGAATCTGATTTTAAATCACTAATATTCATCTGTCTCAGTACTCAGAATGTTTGTAACACAATTACTGAAAAAATCTTGCAACACAACAGGGGCTATGTTTGAAACAACAGAAAGCTTGATGGGCATGGAAAACCAAGAAAATAAATTAATCTATTGTGCATTCTCTGATTTCAGCTTTTCATCACGTTATGACAGGATATGTCTTTGATTGTCACTTCAAGTTTGTCACAGTAACTAACAGGCACAGTGGGATAATTATATGTGTTTCTCTTGTTTGTGGCTCTTGGAAGTCATGGCATACCCTTCATACATCTCTCTGACTCTGATCGATGGAGTTGCAGCTTTAATGTTGAAAATAAAATGATATTCCTTTTGGATTCACCAGCAAAATATACCTTCTGAGAATGAGACAATTTGAACTGAATTGCTTTTGATGAAAGATTTATGAAGTGCTTATGTGTTCACCAAGAAAGATTAATACAACACTAATGAGAGAAGAGATTGGCTGCTTCTGATCATAAAACCGCAAAAGCTATCGTACTACGATTTTGATCAAAATATTCCTAACCAATTTGTGTTGTTATAGCACTGTACCAAAAAGGTCATTGAAAACCTTTGGTAGCCCCTATCAAATGTGTGATTATTTGAATGGTAACAGGAGGCTTTTGCTGAAATAATCATAACTTCAGTTTAGCTGTTCACTGTTCCGTGAGAATCCTTGTACTCACTTTGTGAAATTTAAATTGGTTATTCCATTTTTGGTCGGTGTGTGCTTCTACTGTCCTCTATATACAGTGATACAAAAATCCTTTTCTGAATATTTCCCGTACCTCCCTGAAATGTCCTCACAAGTTTCTGTGGCTTTTCTAAAATTCTGAATAAATATACTGAAACAATGGTTCTAACTCTTCACGCTCATTCCAATTTCAAGTGTGAAGTGTAGTTTGCTATTTGAAATAGATATTTTGTGTAAAAAAATTATTACCATTAATTTCTATGTTGCACTATAATGAACTTTATGTTTGCCGTTTTGGTAAAATAATTTACATCAGTTTGCCCTTCCGGGGGAGAGTGTTACTCTGTTCAAGACTCAGGGAAATTTTATGTGTAAGCAGAATATATGTGGAACTGTGTCTGGTTTGGTTACTCTTCACAGTGGCGATCGGTTTCTGCATGTGTCAGATACCCAGCTGACCTTAAACATAGCCTCTGCTGTTGTTGCACTTTAGTTCTTAAGAAAAGACATGAGGAAAACACCGGTTGATTCGTCTACCAAGATTCCTTCCATTCCTCATCAAAATGTTTCTCTTTCCCCCAAAGGCCATCTCTTGATGATCCAGCTGAGATTAGGAATTCACAATATGAGGAATCTCAGAGGGTGCCTGTGGCTTATTGCTTCATGATACAGTCCATTATTGCAGTACCATTTTGCAGCACACCTCCAGCACATTGAAGTTTAGATTGTTTTTAGATTTAGTCTGGGCAGGTCCATGAATATAAAAGCCAGAATCAACCTTAAAATACCTTCACATAAAATGACGCTTACCGATTTAACATTATTTGTTGTTTCACATCTTCTATACTTACCTAGAATTTTATACTGTATTAAAAATCACACCGATAAAAGGAACAGGTCATGCCTGTCAGGATTTACCGATGTGTTTGGCAGTAGTACTGAGGCATCATAGTTTTTTCTACAATTAATCTCCTGGAATGGATTGGTAAGGTTCAGATCAGTTTTTACAGCTTTTTCCCACTGGCACTTTTGTTTTTTGTGCAAATACTCACTAGAATAGAAAGCTGGAGCCGCACACTGTTGTCCTGAAGTTGAAGGAAATTATTGAAAGTGTGTTATATCTGAAGGCTGCAAGGATTATTGCACATTCAAAGTCATTTGGAGAAGAATAGTTTAACCGATAGTCTGACATTTGCCTTGCTTTAATCTTGGATTTTAATCTACTTTTATATTAGCAAATTTTTATCAAGTGGTTTGTGCAGAGTTAAGGCTGTGGTTTGTGACATTAGTGGGCTGCAGTGTCCCTTCCATTCTCTCCTAACACCAATTGGTAAGCAGTAGCAGGAATGTTTTCTGATATCTGCCAGATCTGCCTCTAGTTGTGTTTCACATTTTAGTTCCTTAAAATGTTGTGTTCTTAGGATAAAATTATTGTCTTACACTGGAACTTTGGAAAACGAACTCAAAATCCATTAAAAATTGGACACATTTTGCCACATGGTCAAAAAAAGCCTACGGAAAATGAGCTTCTGAATTGACTTTTCCAAAATCTCTTACAGTCCTACATTTTAAGAGAATGCTTGTAACCCGAAGAACGTGAGAAATTTTGGGACCTTTAGGCATACAATAAAACAGTACAATAAAAATTATTATCTTGAGAAAAATAGTAGAAACCAGAAAGTGAATTTGACACAAGTGACTATCTTCCTTTTCAGTTTTACTTCACAAGACTACAGGAGAGGTTTGGAGGAAGAGCTGTAGGCTTATTTATCTCATCTTTGCACAACACTCACTCAATAGTCCTCCCATTCACAGCATAAGCTATTTTTTTAAATAAGTTCGGAGTCCTGGCCTCAACCACCCCTCCTGGTAACCCATTCCAGTTGCAAATTTAAAAAATGATCTCTGTCCTGAAATTACCATAAATCTGCGTCCTTTTGTTCTCCTGGCTCAGCCCATTGGAAAGTAATGTTCCATGTTCAACTCTCTCAATCCTTTTAAAATCTTATATCCTCCTTACATAGCTTTCTAAGATCTTCAGTGAGTTGCCAATTTTCAAGGCTGAAGAGCCCAAACATATTTAATCGCAGCTTGTAGTTAATTCCTCTAACATTGGAATCATGCTTTTTGCTATCCTTTGTCTTAGTGACCAGAACAATATGCAGTACTTAAGGTATGGCCTGACCAGAGCACTATATAGCTTGAGTATGACTTCAGGGGATCTGAACTGAGTGAACTAGCACTCTTGCAACAATGACAACTTGCATTCATATAGCGCCCCTCACGCAAGGTAGCGTTCCAGAGCGCTTACATTTGGGAGAGAGCTTAACGTTGGGACAGCTTTCAGCTAACCCACTTACCAATTTCTTGTTTTATTTTCAGAAAATTTCAGACTTTATACATTTCTATGTACTGTTCTATGTCTGTTGAATACAGACTGGTTTAAAAAAATAACACAGTGTAAATCTGAACCTTGCCTCGTGGGTGGGTAAAGGCACATTTTGGTGCAACATCAAACCAAACAGGTCAGAAGGTCACAGGTTCAATTCTCAGTCTAGCTGATCGCAGCAAAGACACCATTTGAGATGCTACAATCAACTTTAGCCCTTCCACAATGGGGAAGCAAAATCTGTCTGGTTTCCCACTGCTTGATTTTGTTGCCCTCCCACTGCTTGATTTTGTTTCTTGGTGGTTTTCAGACACAGTGTGTCTTGTGTCCTCACCCAAGAACATTCACCAGTAAGAGAGCCATTCCCTTCACGTTCGGCCTTTGAACCATCCAGAATCAGTGATTATATTCTGGAGAGAAAGGTTTGGACCCTCTCGTCCCAGGCAGTGGCCGCATCAGCATCCAAGGATGCACACTCCAGCTCACCAAGCCAGTCAGGAACTTGGGCATCTTGTTCGACCCTCAACTGTCTTTTCTCCCTCACATCTGTGTTATGATCCACTCTGCCTTCCCCCACCTCTACAACATTGCCCAACTCCACCACTGCCTCAGACCTCAGGCCGCCAAAATCCTCATACATGCCTTCATTACAACCAGGCTCGACTATGCCAATGCCCTGCTTGTCAGCCTTCCCAACTCTCCACGAGCTGCAGATCATCCAGAACTCTGTAGCTCATGTCTTCTTCCGCACCAGACTTTGTGACCTCATCATACCCACCCTCGCCCGGCTCCACTGGCTCCCCATTTCTCAGAGTATCGAGTTCAAAATTCTCATCCTCACCTTCAAGGCCATCAATGGCCATGCCCCCTCCTACCTCTCCAATTTGCTAACCCTTATCAAACTATCCGCTCCCTCCGCTCAGCAGCCTCCGGCCTGCTCCATGTCCCTCACCCGGCCCACCACACCATCGGCCATTGGCCTTCAGCCTCTCTGCCCCCACCCTCTGGAACTCCATCCCACATTCCCTTCACCTCACTCCCTCCCTTGCCTCCTTCAAGGCACGTCTCAAGACGCTCCTCTTCGAACATGCCTTTGGCCACCTTCCTATCCTCTCTGCCCCCCGCTTGGGTCCTAATCCCTGACTGTCCAGAGCCTTGGGAATACTATCGATGTGAAAGCTGCTTTATAGATGTAATTTTGTATTGTATTGTAGATTTGTTCATTACCCTGTCTGTTCTTTAAATCTAATTATTTCTTTCTTATCTATCTGCAGAACTGTGACATGATCCAGCAAAGTACTGTTCATGTGGTACAAAGCATTTCCAACCCAATCCAAAGTTCAGCTAGTAATTCAGGCAGTGGGATTCTTGAGAGGAGGAATGGAAATGAAGTGATCAGCTTAACTCAAGTGGACCTCAGCACTTCTGTGTTTTCTGGACAATCTACAGGTCTTGCTGACATCCACGATATAGGAGACCATACTCCCTCCACCCAGACTGGAAGTTCAGGTAAAGATCTCAGCAGATTTTTTAACAATAGACTATAGTCACTTGTTTAACTCATCCAACATGTTATAGTCTTGCTGTTCTAGGAGCTTAGAATAGAAGGATTGAGAGTCTACATTTCAGAACAGTAGCCTTTGAAGCCTAGAGTGCAGGGAGTGAATCAGGGCTTTATAATAAGACAAGATAGAAATGGAAGTAGTTTTGAAGAGATTTTGCAGAGATGAGGATTGGGCAGTGTATGGTCATAATAAACAAAATAAATAATAATAATAATCCTTGTATTTGATATAGTGCCTTATCACATCTACGAGACATTTCAAAGCACTTCACAGAATATACTGTGAAGTGAATTGACTGTATATTTTGTGGGCGAAACCCGGCTGCCAATTGCGCATAGCAGTGTCCTACAAAGAGTCGTGGATTTATTGACCAAATTTATTAATTTTTTTTTGAAGAGATTATTATCCCCGGAAAGCGATCCGCCAATCGACTAACAACCGGGTTCCTACTTACTGCTGGATATACAGGCATGTGGAGTAAGGAAACTTGCCTAACATTTCGCCCATCCCAGCTAGTAATTATCTAGGCCAAAGTATTTTAGGAATGAAAATAAAGATTGTTATATCAACAGTGTAATTATAAGATTAATTTTCTGAACAGTGACCTACCCCCAGGTCAGGTGAGAACCCTTGACTGCCCAGCATCATCTCGATGTGAAAGGCACTAATATAAATCCAATTGTTGTTGTTCTGAACAGTGGAGGATAAACGATCTGTAATAATTTACCTATTAGTTTGCTGAACTTATGTGTTCAGTTCAAAGAACCAGGCAGAATACCATGAGAGTAAAATTATTATCTTCTGCAGTCTGATTGAAGGCCCTGTTAAACCCATCTAAGGAGCTCCAATGGCTAATTTTATATACTTTTTAATGTTGTAAGTGGACCACGTAATATGGAATTGATACATATATGATGGGGAGATATCAGCTTCAGCGCTTTGAGACATCCGAATGTGAAAGGCATTGGTAAATTGTATTGCCTGAGCGACCTGACATCAGCCGTATAAATGCAGATCTCAGTATGTTTATCAATAGAAATGTCACAATTTGGAATACTGGGCCTGTACAAACCACTGTCCAATTCCACCTGCACTATAGTGTTCCGGGATAGTATAAGGTGATTGTCACTCTTCATAGAAAATAAGTGTTTGTGTGGACGTCAGGTGAAAATAGCCATAGCTCAGCAGTAATGTTCCCTCACAGTCTGGACTTGCACAAGAATGATACTTCATACCTAACACCTATACCCTCACATGAGTCAACACTTCCAAAAATGAAGGGTAGTTTTTAAAAATAAAATAAACGTGATAAGTCTCTTGTTGTGAAGCTATCACTCTTTTCACGTTTCAATTTTATCATTCAGCCTCAATTTCTTCAGTATTTGAAGTAATTGGTCAAGAATTTCTACCTAGAATTGTCTGACCTGTCTGTCTGAAGCTGTCTGCCTTCAGAAGCTTCTGAAAATCTACTTTGCACATTCAACATTCTGGTTCCTGACAAATTGCTGTTTAGAAAAGTCATCTTTCTTACTGTATTTAAGCTTGTGTTCTGGAAGTGGTACATATACCTGTAAGTTCTGAGGCAGAATGAGGATGTTTGTCTGGAGACCCGGTCATTTGAGACTCAGGATTTGCCTGAAACAACTACCTTTCAAAGGCAAACTTTCATCTCAGCTGCACGATTTTTGACAGCCTAATAAAAAGGATTGTGAATTTGATCTTGCCAAAGAAAGCAACATTTTTCTGACCTTCAGAAATACAGTCACTATGTTCAACAACACATGGGACATCCTCCCGACGTGAGAGGCGCTCTATAAATGGAATCTTGTTGTTGTTGTTGTTGTTGATTCCACTCTGATCACTTATTGATCACCTGTGCAAACTAAAAATGCTGTTAAAAATGATCAATTGAATCCCACTGAATCCTTGAATAATTGTGAGGTTGAACATCAAAAGTTTAGCTCCCAAATCTTTAAAGTTTCCAGGGGTAAAAATATTTCTTACACAACTTCTTGCCCTTTTTTTTAAACAGATTTCTTTGAACATCAGTACTTCACATGTACAGGCAACTGGGAGAAACTGAACAACTGTATTGTGGCAGGAGTGAAAAAAGGGCAAAGGGATTATTATAGGATTTGGAAATAGTGAATACTGCTGGTAACTGAGTGTGTGTGTGTCTCACTGACCCACAGGAACGCTGCTCCAATACAGTCGACTCTAGGACATGTTGGAGGTTCGTCGGAGCATCTGGTTACCTGCAGGAATCATTATTTACAAATTCCCTTGGAATATTGTTGTGATTCCCAAGTCTTCAACCCCAATATCCCCAAAGATAGTTGCTGAACTTGAACCATTTCAATGCCTTTAATCTCCTTACTTAACGATAGTTTACATTGTCTGAGGAATCGGGAAAGAGTGGGGACTGGAATCTATACCAAAAAATTATTTCAAAGAAATCAATAATAACTTTAGAGAATTAAACATACCTGGGAAAGGCATGAAAAGAAGTGCAAGGAGCTCAAGGGTTTATTCATGGCAAATAAATGAATAAGGAGCATGCAGCGCTACGAAAAGAGGAAGAGAAATGGCAAATTAGTGAAAGGTGGCTCAGGCATGATGAGAGCCATAATTATCTTCACAACTTGCTGCTTCACACCACTATTTCTGTCATGCTTGAAGCCACTGTGTTCAGCAGTATACCTGTATTTGTAGGCAATTGCAGGAAGAAGGTGGGAGAGCAATGGCAGAAATGACTTTCGGCACACAACTACTAAGTTCTGTCGTCTCCTGGGTCATTTCCTAGGTTATATGACAACTGTGAGCCGGGGGCACATTAGCTACTGGTTCTGTACCACTAACAGTGCTGTTCTTAGCATAAAGATAATCAAGAGCCCCGTGATATCTTTCCATGGCCATCACTATGTCTTGGCTCTGCTCAGTGCATCCTTATAGGGTTCCTGTTCCTTATAGGGAAATTCTGTAAAACAAAATGGATTGACAGAATATGAATATTAAAACATTTTATTTTCACCCATGGGGAACAATATTGTATCCATCAGTTTTGAGGAATGGAGCCTCTCCTCCATCACTGAAAAAAGATGTTCTCTATTGAGCAGAGAAGATTAAAGCAGATCTGGTAAGTATTTGAAAAATCAAGGATAGATAAAAGATGAAAAAGAGCAAAAGATGAAAAAGATAAAAAAAAGAGCAATGAAAAAAAACTTATCTACAATTCATGAGAGGTGCAATTATGCAGTTAATCAAGGTATAAATTCTTTATTCTTTTATTTGGAAAATCTGGGCAAAAGCCCAAGGTCCACAGTAAAATAAACCACCAAGTTGAGGAGTGGCATGGAAATGAGATGAGTCGATTAAAAAATAATAATAATATTCCTTAGATTTGCTAAAGCACCTTTCATACCAGGAGGTTATGTCAAAGTGCTTCACAGGATATATTGTAAAGTGGAGTGATTGTTTTGAGATCTCCGCAGCAACCTATTTGCACGCAGCAAGATCTGCCAATCATTCATAAAATAATGACCAATTTAGTAACACCAAAGTAGCACCAAACTTTAGCTTCAAAAGCCTACAGATTGTAGGAGGAAGGGAAGGTTGAGAGGTAAGGAGTTTGAATATTGAAGTTTATGAGAAGCATGAGTTAGGATAAGATCGAGCAGCTTTCCACCCGCAGCGATCGTGATGCAGCTGTGAAGCTGCTGAATGACCATCTCTCCACAACCTTCAATTCCCTGGCTCCCTGAAATCCAGGGTTGCTTCCAAACCTACCCGCTCCCCCGGTACAACAGTCATCTCCACTCACTCAAAACACAAACCCGGACTCTCGAGCGTAAATGACAGAAATCCTGCCTTACGATTCACCACCAGTGGGGCTTAAGCACCTCCACACCTACCGCCTCTCCCTTTCACAAGCCAAAACTGACTTTTGCTCCAAAGTCATCCTGGAGGCAAACAACAATGCAAAGCCAATGTTTTCCACCATCCATCACCACCTCCGTGCATCCCCTCAAGAACCCCTCTAACCTCACATGAAACTCCAACTCAACTCCCCCACCTCTCCCCCTCTACTTAATCAACTGCCTCCATTTCATCTTGGCAAATGGTTTCTCCTCCTGCCCCCACACGGTCACCTGCAGGGTACCCCAGGGCTACATCTTTGGCCCGCTTCTTTTCTTTATCTATATGCTCCCTCTGGGTGATGTCATCCGCAGACACGAGGTAAACTTGCATCCACATGTATGCGGATGACAAACAGATCTACTTTGCCTCCTCCAGTACCAACTCCAGTCCGCCGATGTTCTATCAGCTTGTCTGGCAGACATCAGGGTCTGGATGGGTGTAAACTTCCTGCAGCTGAAGATGGAAGCCATATTCCTTGGCTTCCATCAACGTCTTCACTCCTGCAGATCTGAACTCCTCAACCTTCCTGGGCTCTCCCTCAAATTCACCAAACCAGTGCGCAATCTAGGCGTCCAGATCAATCTGCAGCTGTCCATCCTCCCTCACATCATGACCACGACCGCCTTCCTCCACCTCCGTGACATTGCCCTCCTCCAATCATACCTGTAGCCGAAAGCCTCATGCATGCGTTTGACACCTCCCGTCTGGATTACTCAAATGCACTCCTCGCCGGTCTCCCCAGCTCCACTATTAAAATGATCCAGCTTATTCAGAATTCTGTTGCCCGCATACTGACCCGGACCAAACTCTGTACCCCCATCTCACCAGTTCTGGCCAGGCTCCATTGGCTCCCCATCACCGAATGGATCGACTTCAAGTTCCTCACACTTGTGTTCAAATCCATTCACTCCCTGGCTCCCCCCTTCCCCCTCTCCAACCTCCTCACTCCCCAATCCATCAGCCGGCGCCTCCGCTTGACTGGTACCGGCCTCCTGCTCGTCCCTCACACCTTCTGCCCCACCATCA